CAGCTCTCAAGAAAAACAAAAACTCCATATAAAATGACGTACAAGAATTGGCTAAGAAATTTGCTTGTGTCAAATTTCCTTAAGGCAGTACGCAGTTCTTAAGAAATTTGCTCCGCTTTCTAGTACGGTTTTCTAAAGTCGTTTTGAGAAAAAAGAGCACAAGGCAACAGGATGTGAAGTATCATATGTCAAAATTCCTTGGACACACACACGAAATAATGGCAATTTGTTTCTTGTCTGTTTTCTTGAGGTGCATGCTGGCTTTTAGTAGTAAGGGGCAAGGAGACAGCCCTTATTCCTGATAATATGAAGGTTTTAAACGTTCCATATTTAAATTGAGCGCCAGTTGTCTCATCAACTCACGGAGAACGCGCGTTTAGTAATTTCAAGGTTTATCTTCGCGAAAATCGAATGAAAATGCTGCCAGAAAACTTCAAAATGCATCTTGTGGTTCAATGTTACCACAACTATGGAGATTAAAGTTTTGTAAGTTAAAAACACGAAAGGAGAAAATAGTCAAATATTTAAGTTTTTCTCTTTTTACTTGTAAAATAAAACATTTCTAAAATAAATGTATTTTTTTTATTATTATTCGGTTTTTATCTTTTTTAGTGCCTTCTTTTGCCTGTTTTGCGATTTGTAGTGCCTTTACCTGCCTATTTCGCTATTTTATTTTGCCTTTTGTAGCCTATTTCGTTATTTTATTTTGCCTTTTTTATAGGTTTTTATATCCTAAAAATCAGTTCCCTGCTTATAACCATAAGTCATGAATACATCCTATGGCCACAGGACCAATTTTATGAAAAACGACAAATTCCCAACGTTATTGGAGCAATAGACTGCACCCATAAAAACGCCTGCGTTTGGTGTTGCAAGTTGTTGTGGATGCAGACAAAAAGTTTTTAGATGTTTACTGTGGCGAACCGGGCTCTCTGCACGACGTTCGTGTTCTTAGAAGATCTTTTTTTGTAAAAAAGCAATGAACTTAATTTAATTTTGTGATAGAAAATATAAATGAAGAAGCACTGATTTAAAAAACTGAATTTTGGAGCGTTAATCTAACTCAAATAAAAATTGATTCGTTGTTCTTGCAAAGGAAAACATGAAACGCTTCATTAAATAAAAGGTACTTTTTTATATGTCCTAGACTACTCGTCTATTCCTTATAAAATGGAGGAAAACGGTTTTTTTTTATTATTGGGAAACGGAAAATATGAACTACCAAGTCGGGGATGCTCTGTCTTTCGGTCATATTACCGACTTTCGGTTTCGACCGTGATACGACCAAAATATAGAACATCCCAGTCTCGGTAATTCATATCTTTTTGTTTTCCAATAAAAGAATTTTCGTTCACTTTAAAAATCCAGGACGAGTGAAAGTTCGAAGGTCATTTAGAGGTTGAAAAGGCCCTTAGGAGCAAAAAGTTTCAAAACAAAAGTTACGAATTTTCTCCGCAAACTCCGAGTGTGAAGTGAAAACATGTATGTCGCATTCAAAAAACAGGGACTTCCCATCTGTTTAACCCTCTTCCGGTCGAAAGCGGATGTGGGTAGTACGACCAAAAGACATGTCGTCGCTTGGCGCGCAATACCTCGTATCCGCCAAATTCAATACCACGTATGAGGTGGCGCAGAAAAAAATTATTTTGGTTACCCTGTATCAAGGCTTGACTACTCCACAAATTTAATGGTGAATAACTATAATAGAAGCTCATATTTAGCAATTTAAAAGGTTTGAACCATTTAAGGTTATTCGCTCTTTTGTGAATTTTTTGGACCATCTTATTCGTGGCACTGCGTTTGGCGGATGCGAGGTATTGCGCGCCAAGCGACGACAT